GACCTTGGCCGCCCGGGCGGCGGGACGGGGCCGGGGCGTCCTGCGCTTTGCTGGGGGTGCCCGGCCGTTCTCGCGCTCGTTGTCTCCGCGCTTCGGGGCCGCCTCGCTCCGCACGGGTGTCTCGGGGCGGCTCCGGGGCGCCCGGGGCCCAGCGTGTCACGGGTGTGCGGGCAGCCGCTCCTCACGTGGAGCGTTGCTGAATAAAAGTGGCTCCGCGGAAGTAGGAAACAAGCAGTTTCATTCTGGTGCTTATGCTGTAAGAGACACAGGATCACCCCGGGAGTGTGTGATCCGGGTGTCCCGGCCCGGTCTGGGGTGTTGCTAGGTAGTTTTCAAGGAGAACGCCGCTCCCCTCATGGAGATGTTCCCGGGAAGCTGCCAGGCCTGGAAGGGGCCCCAGGGCGGTGACAGGACATGGTTGCAGCCCTGGCCCTCCTGTCTCAGCGAGGGCTCTCAGGGCGCTGAGCTTCAGTCCGGATCCCGTAACCCTCTCTGAGGGCACCTCGAGAGAGAGCTCTGAGACACGTGTGGGGCTTTTTGATGTTAGGAGTCAGTGTAAGTGGCAAGTTGTTGCAGTTTTTAGTGATGGGAATGAACCTTTTGTAAGTATTTGACACATGAAAGCTGACACAGTGACACCAGAATAATCCTTTGCAGGTCAAAAATCCCCCAAATCCAGTCATGGGCATAGAGCTAAATGTGGTGCTTGGGGGTAGCAGGTCCTTGAGGACAGGGGAGCCTGGAGGCAGAGTAGCTGTGTGACAGCTCTACATCTATAGCTCTGCGTCAGCTGTAGGCACTAAAGGATCTGCCCTTCAGCAAACCAACAGCTGCCTGAGGGTCCCACTATAGAAAACTCTCATGGTGGAGAGTTAGCAGTAGAGATTGGTAGACGTTTTGACCTTCCTTCTTGTCGGTGAGCTCTGTGAAAGGGAGAATCAGCAATTTTGTTGTTAAATAAATTAAACCCGTGGCTTTGAGAGCCACAGAATCAGAGAGCAGTTGAGGCGCATCGGGAGCGGTGGAGATCTGCTGGTGCCCAGGACAGTGTCCATGGGCTTTGAGCATCTCCAGGGAGCAGGTCCTCATGCTGGCAGTTCCATAGAGGCTCAGGGGAGCCCTTCTTGCTTCCTCTGGGCTATTCATCGTTTCCTTGGAAAGCAAACACAAGCTGCTTTTAGGAGGTGAAGCTGTGAGCAGATGGCTTGATGGTGGCAAAAAGACTTCTAGCCCTATGGTGAGGGGTCCTTGTTGGCATAGCCTCTACCAAGCCTTGTTTCTGCTAAAGTTTCTGTTTTGCTCCTTCTGTTCAAACACACAAATGTGTGGTAGGAAGGTACCCGTCTCCCAGGCTTTATTCAGAGCAAAGACGCTGGAGTAGAGGAGGGAGGTTTATCGGCGCAAATTTATATGGATCATCTCAAATAGCAGCTTTGTTGGACTTCTTTACGCCAACTGGAGTGCAAGGAGGATGTGGCTGGCCAGGAAATTCTTGCACTAATATAACAGTACAGTGTAAAATAACGAACATCTGAGATGTAGGATCATCCCAGAGAAGCACTGGAGTGGGAGGTGGGAATGGGACAACTGTTCCGCGATGCCCTTGTCCTGGAGTGCTGCCAGCTTTGCCCTTATCGACAGGAACCCCTGTTTGCAGAGCAGCAGGCGGCCATGGAATTGCTTCACGTTCTTGGGAATGTGGTCAGGGGTTTTTTTAGACCACCAATATTTATCTGTGGTAAACGCCTGATAATCAAACAAAAGGGAGGTGAGAAACTCCTTATAATTTTACAAATCGTGATTATGCAGTGCATATAAGCAGTATGATGAAAGTGGCCAAAAGAGAGCAGTGTTACTTTAGAAATTTGCCCATGACTTTTGGAAGTAATAGTGAATTTGGTTGTAAAGGCGAAAATTAGACCCTGGCTTCTGTTTATGAAACATTGGTGCTTAGGGATCCTAGTTTGTTGTGACTTGGCCCAGCAATGTTTTTATTATGTTTCAAGGAAGCATCTTCCAAAAGCTGCTTGAGCCTTTCTTGGGTTTTAGATGATCCCCACTTGGTAGGACTCTGACAGTGATCGCTGAATGCCTGTGTTCATATTGCTTTCACCACGAGTAACTGTGAATAAATGAGATGTTTTATTTTTAAATACAAAAATAAATCGAAACTAGGGAACCTTTGTGGTGGACACAGCCCAAATGCCGAGCCAAGAGCTTTCTCCTGGGCCCTGCAGCCTGTAGGAGCAGAGGTGTTTGAAGATGGGAGGACAAAACGGGCAGGGGGCTTTGGCCACCACTAGGTACCAGAGGTAATTGCAGAGGTGTAACTGGCTGATTAATTAATGAGAATTAATGCGTGGGTCACACACTAATATTGCAGCTAATGCTCTCCAGAAAGGCTGGCGTGGGGGCCTTAGAGCCAGGGCTGATTTCCAAGTGAAAACTGGTCAAAATAAAGTTTTGGAAGGCCCTGAAAATTCAATCTGAAGAGATTAATGCAAAATACTTTTTCGCCTCTTGTTTCCTTTGGTTGAGCTGTATGGATAGTGATAAAATACTTCTCTTTGTACTTAGTCATGTAATAAGGCCCCGCCGAGAGTCAGAAATGTGCAGCAGTTGCCTGCAGAATCACTTAGGAGCCTTTTCTTAGTGAAGTTCAATATAGGAGCACTGAAACCTCCACACGTGCTTCTGGGAGGAGCCAGTCCCATGAAGTTTTGATGATGATTTTGTGTTTCTGCCGCCCGTGGAGCAGGAGAGGGGAGCGCGGCACGCGCTGGGCCTCCCCGCGCGGTGCGCGGGCGCCCGCTGCCAGCGACACCGTCTTGGCCGGTGCAACGGAAAAATCCGCGTTCCCTCTTCCTGCCTTTCCTCTGTGTCACTGCGTGACGGTGGGAGCGAAACCAGATTGGTGTGGTTGGGTTTTTTCATACCTAGAAAGACATAGAGAAACATTTCTTATTTGATTTTTTTGCAAATCTTTCTTTTTTATATAAATATATATGTTTAAAGAAAAATTGCTTCAATGCCCTGCAGACCTCAGCTGTGGGAAGAGCTCCTTTTGCAACTTGCACACAGCTGTCCCATGAGACCCGTTTTTCTCTTCCAGCAGTTCTTTTTATTCATTTATTTATTTTTGTAAAGAGAAGACAGAGCTTTTTCCTTTTCTCCTTACTGCTTGGGTCGGTGTAGTTGAACAAGTCCTTCTGGTCGACCTTCGTTTGCAGCGAAGATGCGAATATGATAAAACTCCTGAGTGACGTCCTCCCTAGTAACCAGAGTCTGCTGAAATTGCACTCTCGCTTGCAGCAATTTCATTTCTGCTACAATCTGATTTCTCTCTTGAAAGCAGCGGGGTTATTAGCTCTTGCAGGGACAGCCTCGGGCTGGGAGGAAATGGGTGCAAGACGTGGCGATAAAACAAGCGAATCGGTTGTTTTTTGAGGGGTAAGGGGCTGTTTGGACATGTTGCCTGCCTGATCCTTGCCTTTCCCTCCCTTGCAGAACTGCCGCTGTGGGAGAGCCCGGCTGCGGCCGCTGCGGCCGTGGACGGATCCGGGTACGTGCTCCACCTGGAGCAGATCCGCTTTGGGGCATCGCGGGGGGCGAGTTGGTGGCGCTGGGGGGTCTTCAGGGACTTGTGTGCTCCTGGATCTGTGTGTTTGTTGCGGATTCAATCAGATTTCAGCAGCGCGTATTGGGGTAATTTGGAAGGGAGACCCTCGGGGAGACCGGGGTTGTCTCTTAGGATGCTCTGGGGCTTCAAAGTGGATTCTGAGTTTATTCTTTGACAAAGGTCAGCCTTAAAGGTCTACAGTAATCTGTTTGACGCCTGTCGTATCACCGGTACATTAACACAAACAGCTTTTTGCTCTTTTTTTTTTTTTTTTTTCCTCCCTGTAGTGTTTCTATAGGTAAAATTATTGGCGCAGGTCTCCTGTTTGTGGGTGGAGGAGTAGGTGGCACTATCTTATACGCCAACTATGACGCTCGTTTCCGGGAAAACGTGGAGAGGGCTGTTCCCTACTCCGAGAAGCTCTTTGAGATGGCACTGGGTCCCGCGCCCCACAGCGTGACGACGCCGAAGAAGTCGGTGAGTGTTTGCCCATCGCCTCCCCTCCGATCCTTCTCCTCATGTAGAGAGAACAGCTGCTCTTTGTTTTCAAATTCTGATCAAGCTTGGCAGGTACTGGGTTTAGAGATTAATTTTCGTGAATTAGAGTTGCAGATTTTTTACCCTTCCTTGAAAGTAAACACTACTGAGATACACAGCAGATTCTTCCCTATTTCACAATTCCGATTCTTGCTGCATGAGTTACCCATTTAACAGAGGTAGTGTTAGACTTCCTTTGTGCTGCATGAAGTAGTGATGCTTGTACATTCCCCATTATCATCTTGCTGTGATTGTGGTCCCTGTCTTGCAAAACTGTCACTTTTACTTATCTGAAAGTAAAATAATCCAGCGAGATTGTAACTGACTAGCGGGAATGCTTGTGTTCATGACTAATCAGGCCAGAAAGGGGTAGGCAAACACTGTAATTTAACCATTTCACCATGGCTAGAGATTTAGTGCACTTAGTGGCAGAGCTAGATTAAGAAAACTGAGTACTAAGAACTTCTAAAATCAATATTACTGTGAACTGTCTGACCCCCCAAAAGATGAAAATATTTGTATTTTGAGTTTAAGAAAGCTGTCCTGAATGGAGTGGGAGAGTTGGCATATTGCTGAATCCAAACCATGTCTCCTCTGAGGTCGTGGTCATCCAGGCCTCCCAGGCACCAATTAAAACCAGGAACTTTTGTTGCTAACACTTAACTGTTTTTGTTCTTGCCTTGTGCCTTTGTATGCTGGGTAGGAAGAGATTAAGTATTGCAAGGTTTTATGATATTAATAAACTTTGGTTTGTACTGAACTCTGCCACTGCTGTATGTTCAGTTCTGGAATGGTGGAAATTACACAGATTCTCCCTAAATTAAAAATCAGGACAAGAAATAATATGGCCTTGATGCTGTTTCATATGTACCTTGAAGTTTAGATTGAGGGGAGAGCCATCTGGATGTACATTTTCCGATGTAATAGACTCAGCGAGACTCAGCCTGTCGAGAAAGCTGGTAACGTGTCTTATTTTTGATCTTCAAGATACAGCAAGGCCCCCTGAAGATCTCCTCTGTAGCAGAAGTAATGAAGGAATCTAAACAGCCCACTAGCAAACCCCCAAAGAGCAAAGCAGAGGCTGCTCCTTCGTTGGAGGAAAAGGAAGGTAACTTCACCAAACACCACACAGAGTGAAACAAAACAGCTAACGTTGCCCTGCATTAAACCTTTATTGTAGATTAAAGAAGTCTTATGGAGTGGTTGAGGATTAATGTAATTTCATTGAAGTAATGTTATTTTCTATCCTAGTCATAAGGAAACTGTTTCTATTGAGGAAAAAACTTAGAAGCCTCTATATTCCTGTAATTACCTTGTAGCAGGTATATAGTGACTGGTTTTGTTCTGTAACTCTACAGCAGGCACCACTGCAGCTCAGGTCATCTCTGCCACAGGTGAAGCCGTGTCAGTGCCAGCTCCTGGGATGCAGACTGAAGAAGGTGAGAGAAAGGCATGAGCAGCACGAGGCAAACCCAAAGCTTGTCACCTTGGGCGCATAAATTCTTGTGTTGATGTCTGTCAGTTTTTAAAGGTGTCACCCTCGGTGCCCTTCTTACACACAAGAACTTCCATGGCTTTTGGCACACTACGAAGCTGAGTTTGATACTGGGGCAGACGTAGCTCTGAACTCGAGAAGAAATCCTGCCTTTTCCCTTGTGCTGATCAGGCAGTTGTACAGTCAGCTCTGCCTCTACTCCCTGTGCCTGTTCTGATGTAGAAAATCATGTCTGTCCAGAGCTAAGTAAAGGAGCTGAACTTAATATTTAATGCCGTATGAGACACTCATTTCTTTATCATAGTCTCCTTCAGATAAGATGACATTAATTTCTTTACACATTACCAGGTTTCAAAAAAGATATGTCAGCAGTTAGTAAAATGTATCCCTCAGAGTTGGCATGAGCATGAGAAGGAGGTTTTCTGCTGATTTTTGCTGCCATTTGAGTGCGGGAGCTGAGACCTCTGGGTTGTCTCCCATTCATGTGCACACATCCTGCTGATCTTCAGAGAATCACTTAGCTCAGTGGTCTCTCTGTTTAGGAGAGCAAAGGTGTCTCAGTGTCCTTGGGCTGGGGCATAGAATAGAACCTTGATTTGCCATGGCCTTTTCCCTAGTTTTTATTTAATTTGGCTGAACTCTGCAAGGCTGCCAAATGGGTACTGAAAAATGTGAGCGGATATTTACTTAAAGTCTAAACTTTGACTTGTAAGTGTTTATCACTTCTTAATTTACCTTTCACTTTTCAATTTTTGTAAGCAGACAGAGTGAAATTTATAGGTATGTATGATGAAGGATTCATGCAGCTGCTCCTTTTGAAAAGCTTTGAGACTGCCCCTTGAAGTTCTGAGTCTAAAAAAAGCTTGAGGTAGCTCGAGGATGGCTTTATGTGGGAGTTAAGTTCATGAAGCGATACTAGTTATGCAAATGGATTTTGAATAGAGAATTACTTCCCTAAAAACAATCGGTGTACTAATTCAGACCATCCACAAAAACAGTTTTACTCTTTCTGAATAGGTAAAGAACAGGAAGATTCCCATGCCATCAAGGAACGGTCACCAGAGGAAGTTGCAGCCCGGCTCGCCCAGCAAGACGAAGAGGAACAAGAGAAGATATCAGGTAAATCCGTATCATTAAATGACTGTTGCCTTAGTTTTCTTTGTCGGCTGTATGCAGCAACAGCAAATTGCTGGGCTACATTGGCTCTAGAGCCCAAATTGCTTGTGTGCCTCGGGTTTAGCTGCATTGTTGTGGTAGGATGAGTTGTGCTCAAGCTTCTTAGTGGCCCTCCACTGCTCTCCCCCAAGTTAGTTGGTGTTTTTCTTATGCTGAGGTCTAAAAATGAGACACAATATTGCAGATGTGTCAGAGGGGATAACTGCTTCCCTTGAGCTGCTGGGAGCTCTGTTGTGACCCAGTTCACAGGTAAGTTTTGTTGTGGTTGACCCATGTCTGTCTGGAATGCCCAAGTCCTGCTTTACAGAGCTGCTATCTGGACTTGCTTGGTGGTGTCAAGATAGTGAAGAGCTGCTTACAGGTTCTGTGTTGGACACTGATTAATCCTTGCTTGGGTTTTAACTTGTACAGACCCCATTAACCCAAGTGCTCTTGGAGAGGTAGCAGTGGTAGGTAGTGCTTTTTTGTGGCAAATCTGTGGCCAGCTACCTTGAGACTTCTCATCTGAATCCAACCCCAGGGCAGAGCAGAGCACGTTGTCTGGCAGTGCAAGGGCACTCGCCTGCTCTCCCCAGCCAGCCTCGATGGGGACGAGAGGGACACGAGAGGGACACAGGTCCCTCGGAGAAGTGGGGGATGTTGAAGATTACGGCCGGCTGAGGTGGCTCCGGGGCCTCCAGTGGAGGGTACAGGAGAGGCATCAGCCGTGTGGAATAGCTGTTCAAAGTGAAAGTTCAGAGCTGACCACACAGAACAAGCTTGAAGGGGAGTTTAACCATATTGAGGTATGGGTTGTGCTTCAGCCTGCACTGACAGCTGTAACCTTTGTATTTTATTATTCTCATTGTGCTTGGATAGAGCTGGTCTCAGATGCTGGCAACATCCGACCTGCCCAATATCCTGACACATGAACCTGCCCTTGGCAAACATGCTGGCCACGCTCGGGCTTCCCCAGCCACCCTGGACCTCAGCCCGGGCGCCTGGTAGCACTCGAGCGCTGGCGACGGAGTTGGGGCTCCCTGCAGACTTGTTCTGGTTGTGATCTGCTCCCGCTCGTCGCTGCTCGGGAATCCGTCCCATTTAGAAGAGTCCTGCAACACTAATAGGAACAAGAGTTGTGGCATTAGCTGCTTGCTTCTCACAGGGCCTTGGTTGCAAGCGTAGAAGTTAAGCTGGTGTGTTTGAAAAAAACAAAACAAAGGAATATTTACTGGGAAAGTGGATTTAGTTGCTCCATTATTAGGAAATAAGTATCTGGCTCCAGTAATTGGTAATTCTGCTACTGTTTTGCTTTGGATCCTTCCGGATCTTCTATACTGACAAGAATGGATGTTGCTTCCACTGGCTTCTCCGCTGGGAGACAAACCGCATTTCCTTGGGGTAGATGGCAACAGCTACATACTTTCTGCTAGTAATTATATTAAGCAAAGATAGAAAATACCTCTTGTATCAAATGCACCCTGCAAAAGTATGATAAAGGTCTTCCACTGAATGCCTTCATTAGCTGGATATTTATTTAATAACCTGTTTACAGAGGGAGCTGCTGTAAGTGCAGGCGTACGGCTTGTTACTCGTTTCCTAAAAATGGAGTGTATTCCCATGACTCTTCCGTGGGCTCCAGCGTAGTTCCCAAACCGACCAAGTCTTTCATGTCACAGCAAATAACGTAAGGAGACAGCTGAGGAACTGGCAAGGATGTGATGTGTCAGTTTAGAAACTGTAAGACTCTTTCCTGCGCTTCCTGAGCGCTGAGCAGCAGCGCGCGGGTGACGCTGCAGGCGGTGACGGCGCAGGAGCGCGCCGTGCAGGCCGTCAACGCGCACGCGCACACGCTCCGGGAGGCCATGGACGACGCCGAGGTGAGCCACCACAACGGGAACGCTCCTTCTCCTCGGCACGTCTTCGCATCCTAGAGTTTCCTTGCAAGTGTGTCCCCGTCTGGAATACATTGGCCATGTCTGGAGCTGGCTGGGGGTGGATGAACTATCCCAGCTCACGGTTGGGGTGCCCCAAACCCATCTGGGTTTGTGCAGGACCGCTGCTCTCGGCTCTGCAGAAGGTGGTGTCAGCTAGCGGTTGATCAAATGAAAAGGGGCATCTGCCCAACTCCACAAGCACTCACGGTCTCATCTTGTAGTTAGTACAAAGATCTTAATGAGGGGGTTGTTTCTCTTTTATCCTCGTTGTTGTGATTACAGTAATTAGTCAGAAATCTGTGCTTTTTAGACCGCTGGAGAGAAAAAATCCACGCAGTGGCGCACTCTGGAGGAAGCCCTGAAGGATCGGAGAAGGGCTGTGGATGAAGCTGCTGATGCCCTCCTGAAAGCCAAGTATGTCGCTTGTTTTTAGGGCTTACCAAGGGGTAAGGTGACATCACCCAGGCAGCAGCTGGCAGAAATTAGATGAGTTTCTGGGGAGTATTCAGAGTCACTTGGGTACATGTCAAACTGATGAGTTTGGGCCACATCAAAAATGTAGTCTCTTACTTGGTAGCTTGTACTTCTTTGGTGCTCATGGTCCTTGGTGTGCCAGAGGGTCTAAAACAGTTTTACTCCTCTTTTTAAGGATTTTTTTTCTTTTCTTTTTTTTTTATCGCAGCATTTTCATTGCAGAGCCGGTAGATGGGAAACATCCATAGTTGAGGTGTTCAGGGAATGGAGGCAGCAGGAAGAAATCTTTTGTCAGGGGCTGTGTTGTAAGACACGTACAAGGTGTAACTGGCAACTTCTCTTTTCAGAGAAGAGCTGGAGAAGACAAAATGTGTCATTGAGAATGCCAAGAAGTCTCAAATTGCAGGAGCAAAACCTCACATAGTTGCTGCAGAGGAAAATCTTCATCATATGATAGTCGACTTGGACAACGTAGTGAAAAAGGTGAGTAGTTAGGCCAGCTGGTAGGCTAATTGGCTAATAAGCTAATGAAGTAGTTGGCCTATTAGCCTAACAGCCCACTATTTGCTTAGCCTAATAGTGGCACCATCACAACTTAGTGAGAGGAGGGCAGCTATCACAGGGCTAACTTGCTACACTTCCATGATAGCTGTAAGCTTGTCTGGAAACAACTTGTTCTGTAGCAGAGGAAAGGAGCTAGGTATCTTTGAAGAGAGATATAGACTGAATTCATGGTACTCTCTGGGACCTATCCAGGCTGTAGGTTATCTAGTTCACGTGCATGTGGCAGAATGGACTTGTAATAGTTCCAAATAATGATTGTATATGAGAGACTTAATATCATGGGGTGTCTCACACAAAGTAAGTTTGCCTTAGTTGGGCTGGAGGGTAAACGCCACTCACGTGTTTCTGACATCAATATTTGCCTTGGAAAATAAACATTATCTTGTTTGTTGCAGGTTCAGGCAGCGCAGTCCGAGGCCAAGATAGTAGCTCAATATCATGAGCTTGTGGCTACAGCTAGAGAAGAATTTCAGCGAGAACTTGATAGCATCACTCCAGATGTGCAGCCTGGCTGGAAGGGGCTGAGTAAGTCTCTGACTGCAGCTTTACTTCGGATGTCTGTTGTGTGCCAGTCCTGTTTGCCAGCATTTCTACAGTTAGAACCACTCGAGCCAGTGTCCAGCTTCCTGGTTTCCGTGGTTGGCTAGAAACTAAAATTAATTACTAGTGTAAAGCAGGTGTTACAAAATGGCTCAGTTTTATAAACTACCTGCACTGTGTTTGGTGTTTCACAAAATGTAGCTTGTGTGGTAAAGATCATGTAGCTTTTTAAACATCTCCTCCCTGCCCTGCTATTCCAGGAACAGAGAGCCCAGAAAGCCCGTGTCCTCCACAGAGAGCAGGGCAGATTGAATTTCGGGCAGGGCTGTTCCCTTTAAAGCAGTTATTCATGGAATTAGCATCTGTCCTGTTTCCATTAACATGAATTTGTGATGGCAGGACAGCTATAGAAGAGCTATACCTGACTCCCTCCTATATAATAGCAAATAATCCCCAATAAATGAATTGGGCTTTATGACCTCTAATGTTGTCATGTACTGTAGTGCATGCCACAGTGCTGATTTGGTATAAACTCTGGTTCAGACATAGGATTTCTTTTCGTAGTAATGGCTAATGCATCACATTTGAGCGGTTTTTGTTAGTGTGTAAGGGAAGGCAATACCTAAAAACACTGTAAAGCCAGCATAAAGTCCATCACATGCTCCACCAGATTTGAGAAATAGTCTTGTAGTCACTGTATAAGTGGGTCAAATTCTTATTGCTCTGTGATCAGTGATCACAGAGCTCTGTGATTCCTGTGATTGTCGGAACAGCTTGATGTGGAGTAACAAAGAGCCGCCTGAGGTTCTCTAGGTCATCACTGGCATGATAGAGAAACTGGAACATGGATAATTTATTGTTCTTTCTGGATATTGAGCAGCTGCTGCAAAAGCTTGTTAGTGGCTACCAGATGAAATTCATACCAGATGCTCCCTCTCTATAAATTACAGCGTGAGATGCATTTTTGTGACGCGAGGAGCTGGTGCTTGCAGCCAGGTGCCTTTTGCAGGGGGTGGCACATACGTATGGGGGTGATGCTGCTGGGGTGCCTTTAGCACTGAGCTGTTATTGGGAGCTGGCAGGTTTTTTTCTTTAAATCCAGTTAAAAACAAGAAGGAAACAACCCCCAGAACCTTGTCCCATGTGCTCAGTTTCCTCCTTTTCCCTTCTGTACCCTTCTTATTCCAGCCCGTGCTGTTTCTACACTAAACTGACACAGTAACTTGTATTGACCCCTACAGTCCATGCTGCCCAAAAGCAGTAAATAGATGTCTGCTTTTTTTCTTTTTCTTTTTTTCTTTTTTTCCTCTGTTAATACTACTAAAATTCTTTACCTGAAATCTGGGTGTCTTATGAGCCAGTATTTGTTTGAGATGCTTGGGTTTTTCAACTCGAGCCATTTTCTGCTTTCTGATAATAGGAAAAAAAAGTGAAATGAGAAATGCAAGTCAAAAGTTATGCCAGAATCTCTTTTATACCAGAGAAATAAAGATGAATTTTTTTATTCCCTGAGCTGTGGGAAATCCTCCCATGCCCCAGTGCTGCAGCAGGGAGTCCCGGGGATGCTCACAGGTCACCTGAGAGCCAAGCAAAGCTGCAGTGGGTTGTGCACAGGGCAGGACTGCGGGTCCTAATGCAGCTTTCCTGAAGCACCAAATGAAGTACTGCAACATACTACTTAATTCTACATTGGACTTCAGCAATGTGGACCGTAGCTCATAAATGATTTTCGCAGCTAAGGAAATGTAGCAATCTTGAAATGGCCTTTTTTTTTTTTAGTTATAATCCCAAACAAATATGTGGAAAAAAAATAATGAACAATTTGCAGAGCTTGCTGTGCTGTCTTAAATGTGCAGGCTTTTGAGGTATTAGAGTTCTGTAGAAAAATGGAATTATAGCAACAGAATAATCAGAGTTATTTCCCCTCCTCTTTTGTTTACATAAAGAACATGAAACATGTTCAGTTTCCTTTCGTGGGCCGTGGTTCTGGAGTAGTCTGGAGAGGGGCTCCCCAAGCAGGTCCCACACGTCCAGTGTGAGCTGGATACAAAACCCGACGTGCAAGGCCAGGGCCTCCCTTGAGCTTGTGTCCTGTCCCAGGGGAATTTTGTTCCTTCATTTCTCTGCTCCACTGCCAACAGCTTCTGATTTAGAAGAACCTGGAAATGCCAGAGTGAAAATTGCAGTATCACGCTGTGCTTTTTTCCTTCAAGCTTGTGTTCCTGCTCTGGCTAAACTGTTGTGGTCTGTCTGCACCCCTCCTTTTGCCAGGACCATTAAGCATCAATCTGTGTGTTTCTACAGGTGATTTCAGTAGTTGTGGGATGTTTTGGGCTACATCTTGTAAAGGACAGAGACTCATATTCACCATAATGTTCTTTCTCAATTCCCAAAGACTTGGCCTCCTGCTTAAGTCACTCTAAATAGGAAGCTTTTTGCATGATGAACTTGCTGCCCTGGATGTGCATTAACTCCTCCTCCCTGTCCTTTCTCTTGCAGAGATCACTGACCTAGGTGAGTTCTCTACCTTTGTCCTTCCCCTGGTTGTGTTGTACTTCACACTACATGCAGCATCCACAGAGTTGATTCCTAAAGCCTTCCAGTCTGAGTGTCCTCTGGGGTCACACTTGGCATGTGGGGCTTAAACCACCACCTTTACCTAAGGGCACTTCCTAGGTGAGTGTGAGTCCTGGCTTGGAAAAGCCAAGTTTATGTTTCTCAGAAATTCAGGCGAATTTAAGCCTGTCAGTGTCTGCTCGTGAGATTCAAAGGGGACTGAGAAACTTTGCTGCGATTAAGCTGCGTGCTGGCCTTGTTTGCAAAGCCAGTCTGAAGGGTCACCCAAAAGGGTTCAGTTAAACTGGAGGTGGTTTGAGTCTCTGAACGTCATTGTATCTTATTCTCTGAAAGAGAAGAAGAAAATTATCTGATTTTTCACAGCAGTGCTTGGCTTTTTGATTGAAAGGGGGGTAAAAAAACATGAACCTCAGAATCAACCCTAACTTAAAATCCAAGTGTAGTCAAAAACAGCCATAATTGCCCAGCTCGCCCAGACACCATCCGGATCCCATGGGGCCCTCCTGCTCCAGCCCCTGCAGCTCTGCTGAATTCTGCTCAATTCTCCTTGCTTTGGCCCTGCAGGAGTGCTTTTTTTCCTGAGTAGTCCCAGATTTTCCATATGAAGCAAAGTGGTAGCAAACTTAACAGATCCAAATCTGGCTGCAACCACTACCCCTACCTGGGGAGCCAAACTTGCTAGCTACAAATTTGGGTAAGGAACGTAATTACAAACGGTTGGTCTGGAGCTCAACAGCTAACGTCCTTCCAGCTTGTTTTTCCAGTCACCCCGGTGCTCTCGGGGTCACGGTTCCTTGAGCCTCACTGAACTGCAGTGTGGGAATGGGAGTGTGGGTGATGGGTGTGAGTCACTACGAAGAAATAACGTCTTTACAGTGAGGAAAAGCAGGTCCCCTGGAGCGTCTCGGAAAGGACTCGGGTGGGGGGGATGATTTCGGCTCCCCTCGTGCAGCCGGTTAGCCCTGGTTAGCGGGTTGGCCCGGGTTAGCCCGGACCCTCCCGACGCGCCGCGCTCCCCGCAGCCGGGCAGCTGTCGCCGGACGACCTGAACTCGCTCATCGCGCACGCGCACCGGCGCATCGAGCAGCTCAACCGGGCGCTGGCGGAGCAGCGCGTGCGCGAGCAG